GTAGTAGCCCTCCCTCCTGAGGCTGGGGTCCGACCTGTGGAGGAAAATGACTCTTAGTCGGCCTGGAAAAAAAGGCAGAGGATGACAAGGGTACAGGGAAATTTTACTAAAAGCCTGGAGGGTCTCCTGAAAGAAAATATCCTTAATTCAGCACAGGCAGGGGGCAGGGCCCATAAAATCTCTCTGCCCTGTGGAGCTGTGAGTCCTGCCCCTGAAAGTCCCAGTCAGACAAGAAAAGCCACAAATACCTTTAAATCTACCCCAGAATTCCAAAATTTCAACCTAACACAGCAAAATCACAGAGCAAACCAAAGCCCCTAGTACACAAACATAGACAGAAATTTTTACTAAGTGGACTGATTCCTCCCGTGATAGAGAGCAAACGTCTCTGAGAAAACTAACTCAACAGCACTGCTTGAGGCTTTTGCAGACCATCACGGATTCAGCCTTCAGCAAATCAAACATTTTAACCAGATGAACTAACAGAAAATCAGAGTAGCTTTCGCTTTCACACAGACCAGTTAATCAGCAGATAATTATGTGAAGACAGACAAACATTTGTACTCACACTCTCTCAGACTAGCCCAGACTGGAGCTGAGCAGATAATGCCCTACTCCCTAGATGAGCATGGGGGCACTCCAGGCACCCACGACCCAGACCAGAATTCTCAACCGACGTCTTGGTGAGAACCTACCTGAGGAGTTAAGGCTGCGTCCAGCCTCCCTTCTCTGTAGCAAATTGGCTAGTCCCACACACTAACAAACAGAACAGTGAACCCATAATTACTTAACTGAATCTGAATTCACTCACCTCTGGAGTCCTGATTCCTGATTTACCTGATGAAGTCCTATGACTTCCAGGGAGGTGATCAAGCTCCCCCTTCCACTCACTTGGGATGAGCCTGACTGACTGGGGCCCCTACCTTACAGATTCTGTCAACAGGTCAAGAGGTGTCCGTCCACTTTCTCCAGATGCTGGCTGGGTCCTTGGCTGAGGGCTGG